CTGCTGGCAGACCCCTCCCGCCGCCACCAAAGCCAAAGAGGGAGATGAAGCCAAAGACCATTGAACAGAAGCTTGCATCCGCAACTTGGGCACGTGCAGTGTACCCACAAAAAAAAGACCTTATATTATATTGCCGCTAGCTGATATATATATATATATATTGAATAGGGGCGGAAACTGGTTTTCTACTGCTATACCTGACCATGCTGGCCATGGAGCAATCCAATGAGGCAAACAACACGGCCCACCGGATGCTCACGGAGTCCATTCAATTGGAGACGAAGTTGAAAGGTGGGAAAGTGCAGCTTAGCCATGCATTAGAGTCAAACCCAGCTACAATGTCTAGCTGTGCAGTGGTCCCCAAAACACACCCAGTGTGGCTGAGCCCATTTGGAAGCGGTGTTTGGCGTCAGTTTGGTTGGATGTCACGTCCCCGCCGTCAGGAAAGAGGCCTACAAGACTGCGCTCCTCACAGATCTGACCACTGCACGGGATCTCCTCAGTGCGGCAAAGGAGCAGGCTGTGAAAGCCATGGCAACGAAAGCTGGGCTTGATGCTGCCGAAGCCGTCGCTGGGAACGCATTGAAGGGTGGGAGTCGGTTCAATTTGGTTCAATGAGATCCTAGATGTATGATTGCATGCCTGATCACGGACTTATATAGACCCTTTACGAATGAAGTCTTTCAACCATTCGCTGTGGTGCCGCTCACCTGAGGAATTGCAGCGACAGCTGGATGAGTCCAAGAGGATTGCAGATTCCGTCAAAAGCCAGGTAAAGGACAAAGAGTCCAAACCAAAGGCTGCTGCTAAGGGGGGGAACAAAAGGAAAACCCCACCGGCAGCTTAGGTTCTTTTCTTGGGTGTGATCGCAAACAGATCATGTGCCTAAATGGCCAAGGGTATTTTTGCAAAGCTGCACTGGTCAGTTTACTCCATCACTTGCATTGCCCTAAGACTCTCAAAGTATGTTCCAGCACTTCAACACCTGCAGCTTGCTTTGCTGGCGCGATTGATTAGACTTCTCCGGGCTGCTCCCAAGCAGTACTGTACTTTCTCAAATTATACAGATGTACCAACCACAATCAAGAATGATTATTTGTCCGTATATTGCGGGGCACCTCTCGGAGAACCTTTGGTTGCGGCAGATTGGGGGCCTGCTGTGTAGTCATAACTGCGCAGCAAGAACATCACCGCAAATTCGAGTGAAAAGAGCTAAGTGCAGCCGGTCGATCAGGATGACACACGCACAGGCTACAGGAATGAAAGGTTGTGGGAGCTGCATCCTAGAGACTGTGTTGGAGCACTTCTGGTGCATTGCCCCACTCAGGAACTGTTTCCACCCACGCTGGTGTCCACCCACACTGGTGCACTCCCAGTTTCCCTAGATTCCTCCCACGCAGGTGCTGAGCACCAGCGCCTTTCTGACGAAGCAGCTTTTGCACAACGCCTGTGCCACGGCTGCAGTATTTTGCAGCAAGTCAATGCAGCGCAGGTCAACAAGAAAATAGTTGAATGGGTTCTGTCCAAAACCCCATACTTCCGTTATTCGTGTTCTTTTGAACTTCAGGCTTGGGAGTGTGGGAGATGGTCGTGAGAGTGCCACTGGTGCCATCAAGCAAGCAAAAGCCGTGGCCAAGGCCAATGTTCCATCGTCATTGATTGACAGTCTCCATGCTGTAATCAGTCAAGTGTGCATATACTTTGATGAACAGTTTTTTGTGTTTTGAGTGAAATCGAGCACATGCATTGCAGGAAGCTGGACCAAACAATGTCCACGAGGTGACCAAGAAAATAGCTTCGATGAAGGACAGCAAAAACTGCTCTCGAGACCTCTTTCGATTTATCAGATCACCTGCTGACCTTGTTTATGTCACCTGCCCTGTACGAGCCCAACCCCACGATGACAAGATTATCGATGATTCGCTGGCCATGATTGACCCTCACGAATACCTAGAGTATTTGTGGTGCAACAACAAGATCAAGGTTTCAGAAGATGTCATTAGGAAACTTGGACCCACATCACAAAACGATTTGTTCTTTTATATACAAGGTCCCCCTATATAAGTAACCTGTTTTGTTTCCAGCCAACTAGCCAACTTGCTTCCAACTTCATTGCATGGCCATGCCGTTTAGGAAGTACTGGGAACATTGGAGCTCTGTCGCTAGTTGGGCCACAGCGCATCCTGGACAGCCTGATGCAATGCCTGTGGCTGTTTATGGCGACGAGGCCAAAGTCTCTGAGCATAGTGGCGATAAATTCATTGCGTTGGTGCTCCAGTCTCCCCTAATCAGGAAGAAGGGTTGCCTTTTTGAATTGGATCCACAACCCACTCCATCCAGTTTCCAACTGATATATTCCAGCCACGACGTATATACATGTATGGTCAGTATATCTGGACGGAATGGGATGATATTTTCTATTTGCGATTATTTTGGTTGCAAATATTCAACAATTTGGTTTGAGGGGGGTTGGCAGCAACAAGATTCCAAGTTTGGTTGTACGGGGTGGCAGCAACAAGGTTTGGCATGGGCAGAGAACTTCTTATTCTTCATAGTTTCATCTGCCATTGCTGTTGGTGCTTCCGGGATTGCAGCCTGGCTATTCTAGAAGGAGTCAACTTTACAGGTTTCCCCTTGAACCGGTCCCTCCGGGAACTTGCCTCTGGAAATGCAGCCAGCGCAGCCTCCCAGCGTGCCTAGGACACATTGCGGCCGGTTCTGAGAAGAGCTGCATGGAGCTTGAACATAGCAGTGATTGGCCGGCGGCCCCCTGCGCACATCTCTCAACCTTTCAAGGTGGGTCGAAGGGGTAAGGATTCTAGCTGGCAAGATTTATTTTCCTGCCTTTGAAGGATGGAATCATTAGGGGGACACCATGTTCAGACCCGTCAGTCAAAAATCATTAAGGAAAGGGCTGGGCAAGAAATGGCCCAGCGTTTCGCATTGATGGAAGTTAAAGGCGATTGGAAATGGATTGTGGAGACTTGGTCCTTCCCAAAGTTCTATTGGAAAGCTGGCAGCATTTGTTGGAGATGCAAAGCAGCACGCCTTCCCAGGCTTGTGGGTAGGTGGTTGCATATTAAATTGACTGATGGCGCTTTTGCCACAACCCCTGGCCCCATCAACGTATAACTGTACAAGAACTCCCCCCTGCATGTAGGTTTGGCCCGTTGTTCATCGACTTCGACAGAGACTGGACACTACGTACCGCCGAGGAATTTGAAGCAGAAGTCCTGCAGGATCCACCCAACCCGCTGGTTGAGGTTCAGGGGTTTCACGTCAACATGTTGTTGCCTGGCCACTGGTGAAAGTCATATCCTTTTCTTTGTAAGTGTGGGCCCTGTACGGACTTATAAAAACATATGTGCACACGTTTGTTTATTTACGAAATGTCAACTCATTAATTGTAGCTGGCCTAGGTGGGCACCATTGGTTGAACATCTAAGGAAACATTGCGCAATGCATTGCAACCAATTGGGAATTTTCCATGTGCTCAATGCAGAGGGAATTATCATGCTTGCAGAAAACAAAGCTGGCCGCTGGGGGTGTGATTTTAACCAAGCACTCTACCACTTGTTCAACGACTTCAAAGGGTTTTGCTCTCGTGAGCGCATTACTTGCTCGCACCGGCGTTGGCGTCGATCCCACCTTCACATGGAAACAGTGGTCTCTGGGGTACATGTGCCGACACACCCCTGGCTAAATGGAAAAGCTATGAACAGTAGAATCATTCTGGCTTGGATTGCCGCTCCTTGGTTGATGTTCCACTACCAGAAAAAGTGTTGGATCCTTTCCGTCTGTTTTGGCAGAATCTATATCGGGTAGGATCGTCTCCAGCTTCACGCCCAGGATGAACTGAGCACTGGACTGGATGAACTTCTCTCGCCATTGCCAGCGGAAAACGACGTGGCTTCAGCAAAGAGACGACAGTTATGGGGTTTGGGTATTGCTACAGTGTCCTTGGGTGACAGCTTTGCAAGCTTTTGGTGTTTGTTGCCAAAGGTCTCCGTAGTAGCGAGGGCAGCACACCTATTGGTGGATTTGTTGTTTATTTCTAGATGTGTAGATGTGAACAAATTATATAACTGCAGGATCTGCAGGGTTCTTTGGTCTGCTTGACCTTCAGGTGTAGCTTTGCTGAGTGGCAGCGTTTGGTTGAGGAGTTGCCAATCAAGATGACTGGCAATGATTCCAATATGCTGTGCAACCTTGGAATTCAGTGCTGTCATTTCATTCATGCTGCAGCATGCGAGGCAGCTGGCCAGGCTCTCTTGAGATGGCAAATCTTACCAAAGCTCCACGTTTTCCATCACCTCAATCTAGATGTGAGACGGGATCATTACAATCCCCGTGGGTTTCATAATTTCTCCGGGGAAAGCTACATGAAAGTTTTGAAGGCAATCTTCATGACTGCGAATACTGGACCAGGAGTTGCGGAACGTGTCCTAAAACGGACAATGTTGAGGATCCAAGTCAGTTAGCCCAACCGAGGCTTATGCCCGCAGAGGAAAAATAGGACTTCAGATCTTATTTAGATGATAGTTTATAATCTGGTATTCACATGAATTCATCTGTCGCCACGATCGCTCGTCGCCGCGACTCTGGTTCCAGTAGTTCCTGGAACTGGGGCCCAGTTACCTATGAGAGAGGTAACTAGGAGGGGCTGGGTAGGTCAAAACCACTGACCTGCAGGTCGGAGTAAAATGGATGCCTCTTGGTATAACGAACGGACTGCACATCCGCTTGATATGCTTCATCCAAAGGAACATGATTCAACATGATCCCTCACTTCGGTGTGTGACTCTTCAAAAGGATCTTCCTCCCGTTCCGGCCCCCGGAAGCCTGGACCACAAGCCATTGGTGCAGGGGAGGGGATTGCATTCTCCAAATACCAAGCTTCCACTTCATCTCCCAGCTCCCACATGATCCCACATGATCCTCAGCTTGGTCCCACTTCATCCCACTTCATCCCACTGCACCCAGTCCATCTTTCGACCGGCCTTGAGACACCGCGGAGACGGCGTCATACCACTTGGAGCTCACTTGTCGAGTGAAATGCTCTCGCGTGCGAGAAGATGGCGCCTTGGCGGCGCAACGGCTGCCCGGCGCCTCGGCTGGCACTGGGGCGGCTTGGGGTCCGCTTGTGGAGGGTGCAGAAGTGCCCTCAGTGCCCTCGCAAGGACTCATTGGTCATTGGATCTGTTCGATGATTCCAAGGATGCGGGCAGACGGATCTGGGCATGACGTCATGATACTGCAGGGATGACATGGTATGACTATAAGTGGGTTGTCTGGGGAGAGGCTGAAGTTGAGCAAAAACACGGCAAAAATCATTTGACCGTCCCAGCCACGGCCCTCTTTGCTGGGTGGCAGCCCAGGATAGCCAGTGTTAGGGCGCTCGCTGGGTGGGCAAAAGGAGACCGGGCTGTGTTAGACCGCACACAGTCTAGAAGGTCCGAAGTTTGGAGACGGGAGACGTGAGTCCTCAGATCCAGTGAAAAGGTTTTACAATCCAAATGGGGACAGTCATGGAAAGTCTTAATCAAGATTCTTCCTTCTACCTGGTTTTTTCAACATGTTTGGTCTGGCAAGACCGCTGACTCCAGCTGTCCAACCCTCCAGCGCACCGCGGCGGACCAGCGACCAGCGACCAACACACGCGGTTGGTCCGAGCGAGGCGCAGGAGGAGGAGCTAAGGCATGAAGGCGCAAGCGCACTTGCAAATGCGCCAAGGTCCGCAGCGCTTCCTGGAAAACGTTCCAACGAACACGTGCCCCAAGACATCTGTGATGTTTTTGCGTGGCGTCCAAGAGAAGCGAAGAAAGAGAATTGCTTAAGATGGATCCTAGCAATCCTAGCTGCTTTGGATGTGAGCTTTTGGTGGTTTGCTTTGAAGCTCACCTAAGCTCACCGCTGGTCACCGCCTGGTGTGGTCGGATGGACCGAAGAAAAACACCATCGGAACTGGTGTGGGCGGTCGGTCTTAATCACAGCACTCAACACAGACCGATGGATTACGTGAGACTTGCGATCGCCGGAGCGGAGAAGAACACGAGCGAGCGGAGCGGCTACTGGGGTGTTCAGCTCAGCTCGATCGCTCGATCTGATGTCGTGAAGCCCGGCATCTGGTCGAGTCGAGTCGGAGGCCGGTGTCATGTGTTAATATCTTGATCTGGCTTCCAGAAATACGAACGCACCACTGGAGGCCAACTTGCGGAAGGCGAGTGGGAATCAATCAACCACTTCGCACTGTGCATTTGACATCATTTGACCAATGTTTGAGAGCATGAGTCTCGATTGCTGACCTACGGTATGGAAGAGCAGGACAAGAATGCAAACCACCAAATACCATCAAATTCCACCAATTCACTGACCTTAAGTTCAGCCCATGTCTTCCTCAAACGAGCACACGAGCACCTAGAGCCTCTTTCCACACACACATCCTGCCACCAGTTGCTCATGTTCAAATGATCCAACAAATAACCGTTCAGGTCCCATGCAAAAAAGAAGCACGTGCCCCACCACATGCGACCCGTTGGCGCCGCCCGCGTGCCTTGTCCTTTCCGAGGGGCAGCAAGCCCTCATAGCGGCCCTGGTGAACCTGCGTCGAGTTCGCCACTGTCTCGAGTGACAACTGACGTCCGAAGAGTTCAGATTAAAGATAGTACCTGTTCAAGATAATTGGCTCATCTTGGCTCAATTGCCACATGGTCCATGGTGTTTTCTTTTTAAGGACTTTCAACAAACAAAGTGGTCTTTAATCGTCGAGCCAGGATGATTCGACCTGGATAGTCGAGCCGTTCCGCTTCTTCACCTCTTGTCGTTCCACGATCCACGGACCACAGATCCAAAACAACCGTAAGGCTCATCAGGTACCCAACACTCCAGGTATGGAATGGTCATACCGAGTCATACCCTACAAGTCAAAAAACATATCATTTTATACTGGAGATGGTCGTACAAAACCAATACTGATGGATGCAAAAGACCAGGTTCTACTGGGTCTTTGGACTGGTAGGGATACAATGTCAAACATTTACAACATATACAATTTATATGAACATATAACCCGAATGTAGGTCACTCATCGAACAACATCAGTGCCAGTCAAACGGAGCGGAAGGGGGCACGGGCACCGACACTGGCGCCGACAAGCCATGGCTATCTCGTGGAATTCCTATTTTCTTTGCTCTTTTTCTGCCTTCAAAGCAATCTCAAAAAATGGTCTCAATCTCAGGGAATCATGGGTCTCAGTTGTATTCAATTGTCCCTGAAGCCATTAGTTTCAACTCCCTGTCTGAGCGCCTTGAAAATGAAACAAATGGTGTCCATGAACCATACCAAACTGGGAGATGTTGCTTCGTATTTATGACTCTGTATGATCACAAGTTCACAGCAAACTGGTCTTCTTAGGCTGCCCGGTCTTAGACTTAGGCTGTCTGAAGGAAGGAGCTCAAACAATATAAAGTGAAGGCTGGAGACATGCGTACCCTTTTTCAGAGCTGTATGGGCACCACCACCGTTGCGATCTGATTGTGTCACCGAGGTTGTGGGCACCAAACGCTGAGATGGCATCAGAACCGTTCGGGGTGTCTACTAATAACCCCTCAGAGGTTAAGGGCTGTCCATTAACCACCCCTTGGGGGTAACTCATTATAACTCATGATAGAAAATGACGCCCCTGGTGTCATCAGTCATTGGAGTCTCTGAGAAACCGTCCTCCGGTCGTGCGACTCATGCAACATCAAGGATGATTGCAAGCTTTGGAAACCTTGACCAAGGAATACAAAACCCTACAGGTCAGTTTGACCTCATTTTACTGGACTTGACCATACAAAAACACTACTCAATGAGGTAAAGGACAAAGTCTTACTGGGCTATAGTAGAGTTGACCAATGATACTACTGGGATATGGGGATAGTGGACCCATGATTCTTCCATCGCAATAGCTGCCGCCGCCCATGCTTGCGCCAAAGTTCACTGTAAAACAACTATACAGGCCAGTTTGACCTCATTTTACTGGAGTTGATCATACAAAATCACTACTCAATCCGTCGCAATAGCTGCCCAAAGTTCACAGTAAAAATAGAAGCTATACAGGCTATACAGGTCAGTTTGACCTCATTTTACTGGACTTGATCAAAAACACCACTCAATGAGGTAAAGGACAAGGTCTTACTAGGCTGTAGGGTTGACCAAGGATTACTACTGGGATATGGGGATAGTGGACCCATGATTCTTCCATCGTAATAGCTGCCGTCGCCCATGCTTGCGCCAATGTTCACAGTAAAAAAAACTATACAGGTCAGTTTGACCTCATTTTACTGGAGTTGATCACACAAAACCACTACTCAATGAGGTAAAGGACAAGTCAAGGTCTTACTGAAGTTGATCATTATACAAAAACACTACGAACATTGAGGTGTTCAGGACCAGCTTTGGACCTGGGTCAGACTGGACCAGTAGGGAATTGTCTTCATCGACTGGTCCCAACATATCCTCGCCAGCAAGTCTGAGCAAGTCACACCTAATGAAATGGCTAGTTTTCCAACCACCATTTGTTTAATGGGTTCTCTACTGAACAACCATTGTCTGACCAAGGATTTTGTTACTACGAAACCAGCTGCCAAAGCAGCTCGGCCATTCAATATATATATATATATATTGCATCATGGCTAGGGATATGCTATGATATGCTGATTTTGATCTGAGCCGCCTAATCTTGAAGGCACCCCAAAATGGCCGAATGTCAAATTCTACGGTCCTACAAATGACGTAATTATTCTCTCCAGACAGGCAAGGTCGGCTTCGGTGCACTAACTCTTTGCGTTTGGCCAAGACTCCAACGTCCGTTGGACACAGGTTTCCGACATAGACGTGTTTGGCCAAGACAGAACCTACAGACGCTTTGTCAAACACGTCTTTGCGCACCGTCTTCCCGCAGGAAACCGTTTTCCTGCCATTTTCCCAGCTCTAATTGTAGAACATATCATGCAGGAATACAGGAATCTCCTGCTGTAAGGAATCTGAGGCCCTTCTTTTTAAGTCTGCAGTGTTTGTATGTTTCTGTGCTGGGAACCACTCATGACCCACACACTATTGTGGATTTTCTGGTTGCACTTTTCCGAATGACGGCTCTACTCTGACACCCCTTTCATAGAGGTGGTTGAACAACGAATGACATCTTTTCGCAGCAAGTTCTGAGGACTTTTGATCAAATACTTTCAGTCTCCGTGAGTTCCTCGAAATCTCAAACAGCGACAAAGAGTGTCCTCCACCAGACCACGATGTATACCACTGCAGCTCACCGTTCCACTTCCTGTTTCCAAACTCTGGAGTCCCAAATCTCCCCTTGATCAAACGCAGGATCTGTGTCTCGGACTTGTCGTCTTGGCCGGGCCCGGCAACGAGTATTACCAGGGTCATTATCAAATCTCCGTCAAGCAGAGGATCTCCGGCATGTGACTCACGGAGAGTGTAGCTACGTTGAGTTCTATACACCGCCAAGCAGTTGATTCTTTGCGTTCCAGCGAGCGATATGTTGCATCATGTTACAACAATGATTGAATGATATCGAATGTCTTCAGGGTATACTCATCAAAGCGGTCCATTGTCAACTGAGCAGTCGAAGACTTGGTTTCCCAACAGTCAGAAACCGTCGGAAACCCCATTTCACAAGGCTTGATGTGGTTCAACCCCTTTACACAACATTATACTGTTATAAATAGTTATAATATCATATCACCCTCACACAGCTTGTCCGGTCCTGGGGGACTCTGGGGTTGGGTGTTGAACCACGTCACTTGTGGCTACACCACCGAGCTGCATCCTGACCTGGCTGCATGCACCAGACCAAACTTGTGCACGCCAGGCATGCCGATTTAGCTGGATATGGCTCCCAGTGCAAGCAACATCATATCTGATATCTTGGTTGCACTCTCTGAAAACTCTCACGGAAATGGATGGCATAAGGCCCCCGATGTTTTAAGTACCAAAACCGGTGGTGTCATGAAGTGCTCCGTTGGACTCGGAGATGGCTGGCCGGCCATGGCGTGGCATCTCCAGGTCTCTCAAGTCGCTTGGATCGACTGGGACCACGACCAGCTGGCAATCTATGACGATATACCCTGGGGCTCCAAGTATGTTTCTTAGAACATATTTGAACCAAAAGAAACCCTAAACCCAAAACACCTTCTAAGAAGGTACAACTGGAGCCCTAGGGATACATCTGCTTGGATCTGTTTGGCGCTTCAAACCAAGCTCTTCGGGCGTTGGCGCCTTTGGGCGCCTTTTTGGAAGACAGGAGTTGGTGTCTAGCGGCGAAACCGATTTTTCTGATTGTCTTTGATCACAAGCCTTCAAGGCTTGACATGGGTCGGGCCAGAAACGAAGGGGCACAAAAAAAATGTCCAACGCTGAGGTTTTCATGGGGTTGCGGGACATTTGTTGGCTACAGCCACCATGCTCCTCTGAGAGGGTGATCTTCTTGATCCAAGACACACACCAAATTCGTTCGGAACTCTTTTTCAAGGCTAAAAGAAGCATGTGAAACACAAAACAAAACGTAATGATTGTTTTGCAGGGATGCTTTTTGGGGGAAGAAAGGGCCATCTGTTGATTCTTTGGAAGGAACCAAACCCTGTCATCGGGCAGTCTATGTCAGGACCGAGATGCTGTTCAGTCACCATGGGTCGTTGCTTTTGAGCATGAGATGGAACGTGAATGGATAGTGATCAAAACATATGAAACCACTGAGAAAGGTACAAAACACTACAAGACCACATGTCCGATGTCGTTCAGCAATTTGAGTTGCGGTTGGTCAATCCATCAAGATCCATCAAGTTTTGACTTCCCAGACGCTGCTTCACCCGAAGAACTCTACCTTGGGGATCTCTGGGATGAATCTGAACTATCTATCTGCTGGATGTGCACGCCATCCGAAAAGCCGACTGTGCAGTAGATCTTCTTCTCTCTGATCAAAGGTGCTTTGTTTCATGTTCTTTTCTTCACACTTGGTTCCTTAAAAACACATCACAAATATGCAAAGAGGCCATGTTGGGCCATCTATGGCCATTTGAAAGGGCCTCTGATTTGCCTGAGTATCGGGTCTTTGAGTGTGTCCACAAACATCCAAAACCGATGTATTTTGGTTCACTCAGATCGAAGAAGATCAAGTGTTCTTCATCCCAGGTCCCTGAAATGGAACTGATTGGATCACCCAAACCGGTGATATGTGCAACTCATGGCTGGCCATCCACATCAAATATTTGTTTACCTCGGAGTGGTTTGCACAAAACCCTGTCAGGAACAAAAAGGAAAACAACGAAACCATGTTTTGGAATTCATCCGAATCGACTTTTGAACGCAACACGTCATGCACGGAATCGGTCAAAGTGGAATGACAGCAATGCACACGCCCGCGACAGGTTTTTGACCGGACCCATGGCCATCACCAATGTCGAGGTCGAACAATGTTCTGGGGTTTACCAGTTTGGTGGGCGTATGTGGGCGTTCTGTGGTGGAGCTGGGAATCCCATCCCATGAGAGCCAAAAGGATGGAAGACCCTATAGATATATACCATATAATTCTGCAGATTCTGA